TTATTTTTTAATTCACATTTTTATCACCTCTCACAATATTGTTTCTAGGCAGCATAAAAAAAAAAACTTAATTGTACAAGACATTATCAAAGATGACTGTCAAAGTAATGTACTTGTAGCAAAAATATAGGTTACAGTTGCATATGGCAGTTAACCCATGTAATTCCAATTTCTTTTCCCTGAGATAACATGTATGAATACATAAGGATATTAAACAATCTTTAACAATTACGTCAAAAATATATATCAAAATCCATACAAAAAACTTGATTATTCGTCAGGTCACAATTGTGACCATTAGTAGAACAAAGGGAGGCTAGGTATATGGTGTTAATGGATTTATAAACTGACAAACTTCTACAGTTTAAAGACCAGGTTCAATAATTGTTTTAAGCTTTAGTTAATAGTGTTGTATTACATCAAAGACACACCATGCAAAATTTCCATTTGTCAAACAGTGACCCCTAGAGTCGCTGTGGAGTACTTGTATTTTTTCTGAATATTAACTTAATGACCTAATATCTAATATGCCCATGACAATTTAGAAACTGAAAATAGAACATAAAAATATGTATTAGATCTAATATAACAAAATTACAAGATTATAAAATGCATTGCGTGAATTCTTGTTTAAAGAGAAGTGTTTAATCTACAATTAAACTAGGAATGTTTGACAGAATAGTGAATATTATCAGGAAACCTGCTCCAGACTTTAGGACCCACATGCAAAAACAAAACATTCTCTCCTTTAGTGCAGTTCAATATTCTTAGTAGTACCAAAAGTCCAGAATTGTAAGATTCTTACAAGAACCTGTTAATCTTAATGTTGTAAAATAATATTTTATCGATCTATATACTGCATCTTGGACTAACTTTATTTGTTAAAGGTGCAGGACAACCACCTAACAGTGAATCACAATAATATCAACTAAACTCATTAAACGTAACATGCTGTCCATTTAAATACTAAATCTTCATTTTGAGTTGATTCTCATTTGAACTATGGAACTTCTACATCTATGGAAACACATGACTTTCCAGGGGCTCAATGAGTGACAGGCATATGACCCAGAGATTGTGGGTTCAAGTCCTTTGTCTTACAACTTTATAAAGTTGTGTCATTTCAATTTCTTTATCATCCTGAAACGCATTGTACTATTCTTTCTTCCTATTAAATACAACGTGTGTTTCATTTATATGCAAAGTCTTTATTTTGAGTTCATTCTCTTTTTTACTACTGAACCTCGGCAGCTGGATGATCTCATTTCTTTTGTGAGGTAAGAAGTTAATGAGTAAGAATACTTTGGTTATTAAAGTTTCTTTTAAAGTTTTGAAAGCAAAGTATTTTTAAGTACTTTTTGAACCCATGGAACCATTGAAGGCTTGGCCCCGTAAGGCTGCTTGCAGCTTTAATTGCTCTTATTTCTGTTCCACAGCATCAGCCATTCAGCTTAGTTTTGATTCATTAAGAAGGTGCTATCCTTCCTATCTAGTGCAGATACACTTTGTCATTGTTACTGTTGTATTTTTCATGAATGCATTAAATTATCTGTTAAAACTGCAAAAACAACAAGAAAGAGGTTTGAACCTATTACCTATTGATTTTATTGGCTGATTGATTTTTAAAATGATGCTTTAAAATAAAATTCTTAACAACCGCAACAAAAATATTATTATTATTATATATTTTTCTGTTTACTTTATTATGTTTCTTCTCTTTTGGCTGGTGATATAGAGAGACTGTGATTAAAATATTATCATTTAGAGCAAATCACATTACAATATTCAATACAATATTTTAATTTCAAAACAACATTTTAATATATATATATATATATATATATATATATATAGAGAGAGAGAGAGAGAGAGAGAGAGAGGGGGGGGGGAGGAATGATAGCGAGGGTGTTTCTTTCCCAAGTTTCTCCAGTTTTTTTACTCCTCTTATCCATACACCTCTACATGAGAACAACAAAAGCAGGAGATAAACTGTGTTGTAAAACCTATTTTCTAAGGTGATTAGTTTACTGCCTTATCAGTGCAGGATAACCATTCACCACTGTTTTGTGAAGAATATGGGCGGCAGCATTTGATGGAAAACTATGATTATTCTTTTTCTCGAAAATGTTAAATTAGTTACACCAATATAGTACTATAACTTAAAACGGATGAAAATTCAGCAACTGTACATAATTATCTCATAACAAGAGTGCTGTTGTTTCATTTGAATTAATGAATTGAATGAAAACGTCAATGCCTATGTCTGAATCACATCACTGCCGTGCTGACATTCAGACCAACATGATTGTGAGTGTGATGTTGCTTTTATAAGTTAATTCACAAGAAATTGAATTTGAGTAACTTACACACAATATTGCCAGTTACTTTGTCTATTTTTTTCTCCACCAACAAAAAAGGTTTCAAACGAAGGCAAAGCAGAATGAACCATGTTTCACGAGTTCACACTTACATACAATTAAAGGGAATAAAGTATAATGCGTATTTGACGTGCTGTCCGGGGGGAGGGCTCCGAGCTCGGAATTCGGCCCGAACCCAGAGTACTCCCCCCTGTATGTAAAGTGGTTTAGGACTAGAAGAGTGGAGAAGGGGTGGTGGAGGGATGCTGCTAAACTGTCAGAGAAATGAGGTGAGACTGCTGAGTCTATATATACACGTTTTAATCATGATTGCTGAGTGCTCTCCATCCGTGTAAATTATCTGAACGTGCTTCTCCCGAACTTTGTTAATAAAACATCATGTGTCTCTGTGGTGTTTTGTTACTCAACGAATCAGTATTTTTCAATCAATTAGTTGAGTGGATGATTCAATAACTAACTTGTTGGGTGCTTCACAATTGGAAAGCTGCGCCCTAAGTCTGCATATCTTGGCTGCCAAGTCATCAAGCTCTGTCAAAGGATGTCTCAATTTAAAGGATCCTTTGAAGGCAGACTTCGTTTCTCATCATTCAGCCAGCATGTTTTGAAGGATGGATCAAGTGTATCCTTCACATTCTCCTATCCACCCACAATCCTTTGCACACATTCCAATTCACACACACACACACACACACACACACACACACACACACACACAAACAGGCGCACACATCTTTGTGGGGACTCTCCATAGGCGTAATGGGTTTTATACTGTACAAACTGTATATTCTGTTCCCTTACACTGCCCCTATCCCTAAACCTACCCATCACACACAACTTTCTGCATTTTTACATTTTCAAAAAACATTACTTAGTATGATTTATACGCTGTTTTCCTCATGGGGACCGCTGGCTGGTCCCCACAATGTAGGTGATTTCAGGTTTTACTATACTTGTGGCGACATTTGGTCCCCCAATGTAATATAAACATGAACACACACACACACAGCTAGTTCAAAACGCAGCAGCTCGAGTTCTTACCAGAACCAGGAAATATGACCATATTAGCCCGGTTCTGTCAACACTGCATTGGCTGCCTATTAAACATCGTATAAATTTTAAAATATTGTTGATTACTTACAAAGCACTAAATGGTTTAGCTCCGCAGTACTTGAGTGAGCTTTTAAAGCATTATAGTCCTTCACGTCTATTGCGATCTCAAAATTCCGGCCAGTTGATAATACCTAGAATATCAAAATCGACTGCTGGCGGTAGATCCTTTTCCTATTTAGCACCAAAACTTTGGAACAGTCTTCCTACCATTGTCCGGGAAGCAGACACACTCTGTCAGTTCAAAGCTAGACTAAAAACACATCTCTTTGACCTAGCATACACATAATACACTATAGACTTCGATAATTCAATGTTAGGCTGCATAGGTCAGCCGGAACTGGGAACACTTCCCTTAAATCCAGATGTACTCGTTACATCATAAGATGAATGGCATCTACGCTAACTTTAGTGTCTTTGTTTATCCCGAGGTTTTCCTGCAGCCTGCCGGATCCAGGCCGTATCCAGATCTGACGAAGGAGATTCGCCTGGACCCGATGACAATGCAGTGCTGAAGTGTCAACTATCCTCTCCCTATGGAGGATCCCTTTCCCACTCTACAGATAAAGCGTTGTTGAAAATCCGGTTCGCGTACCCCGAAGTGATAAAATAAAATTATGTATCAAATTTATAGGCAAGACAAGTAGTTTGTTTAGGCATGGTTTGTAGGAAATTACAAACCTGCGCACATATATTCAAACGAATATAACTATAGAATCAATTTTTAAATGCGCATGTGAACGCCATCAGGTCACAGGTTCGCGTTTAAAGTCTGTTTAGAGAGAACGCCGTCGTCTTAGTGGCCCCTAATGTAATAACAAATGATAATTTTGCTGGAAGTGAATCAATCAAAACCAACTTTAGCCGGAAATAACATTATTCAAAATCGCTATAAAGCCAAAACAATCTCTGTTACCGTAAATTGTATGTTTATCTCTGTAAAGCTGCTTTGAAACAATCTCCATTGTTAAAAGCGCTATATAAATGAAGATGACTTGACTTGACTTGACACACACACACAAAGAATTAGTAGGATATTGGTGCATCTTGGCTCAAAAAAGAATTAGCAGAAAATGAATCGGCACTAAGCTTTTCCAATTTCAGCATGACATAATGACAGACAGTCAAACGGTTAAATCGTAGGGCCTGGAAAACATTGATGTTTGTGTTCTCCCCATAAAGCATTATAGACACCTTTTCTCATGTGTTTGTTTCTCTCACTATCCCATAATGCACATGGACTATGCAACACTCAGCAAAACCTTGTTTATCATCATATCTCTCTTCCCCCTCCTCTTCATCCATCCCTCCCTCTCTGTCTTTAAATCCTGCTGCTCTTTAATGGTGGGAGACAGAGAGCCTGTGGTTGGCCCGTGTGCACGAGGGTAGTATTACGTAAGCATCAGAGAAAACCTGCATCAAGTGAGAGAGAGAGAGAGAGAGAGAGAGAGAGAGAGACAGTTCAAAAGTGAGAGAGACAGAGAGAGATTAACAGGATCAGGCCTCACAGTCTCACAGAAGAGCAGTCCTGGCTGTGTACATGATAGTGTGTAAGCCTGGGTGCATGTCACAACACTGCCAACTCTCCCCCGTTCTCTGGATCTGCTCATTGTACCACAGGACTGCAGCAGAACTTTCTGGCCCATTCATTTGTTATACATCTGACGCCTACGCTGATTTTGGGCTGAATCTGAACCTGGCTTGACAAGTGAGTATAGCTGTGATCGGTTGAGTATTTACACTGTAAAAAAAATATTGTTGGTTTAACTTAAAAAAGTAAGTAACCTGGATGCCTTCAAATTTTAAGTTCATTGAAATAAAAAAAAATTAGTTGATAGAATGAAGGAGACTCTGTTGAAGGAGTTTTAACAGAAACTCAAATTATTATGTTATCTGAACCACATAAATGATCTTAGTTGATTTGATAAAAGAAAAAAATGTTGTGATAACAAATCATGTAAATATTTTTTTTACAGTGTAGTGTTTTGAGGGGAAATTAATTGGGTCATGTTACAGAGAAAACCATCCTGTAGCAAACGTTGGTTTGAACTGTGTGTATTCAGAGATCTTGTGCACGTGGTGATGAAACTACTTCCATACAGTATGTCACTTTTATGATGTGAGTGATTGTACATGTGTACATGTACATTTCCTGCATGAAAATAATTGTATTCTGTGTCAGATTCATCAGTGCTTGCCAGTGAATATTCATTCAAGCATTTTGTCATAGGACCACCCCAAATGCAATTTTTTTAGGGTTGCACGATATATATCAGAGCAGAATCAGTTATTGGCCGATATCGGTTGATATTGTATATATGTTGGCTAATATTGAATATTACATTTTTCCTCTATTTTTATATTTAGATACCTTTACTGTCATATAACAATTTAAAGTGAATCTTTTAAAAACACTGTAAATCAAATCTAAAAAAAAAAAATCTAAATCAAAATCCATTTTTATACTGTGCATATACAGTAACATTGTGGTGCGTAAATTCCCTTGTAGAATTTTAAATGACCGACTTTAGTCTTTAGTATTTTATTTTTAATTTATTTATGCAGAATTCTATTGAATTTAAATTTCAGCCATTTATTGGTTATTGGCCACAACATAAAAATAATTATTGGCTTATCAGTTTAATGGAGGTAATTGTAATATTGTGCAACACGATTTTTTGTCCACGTGTGTTTGTGTCAGAAAGAGTGTGAGTGTGTGTATACACTGCATGATTGTTTCAGGGAGGAATACGTGGAACACAAACTGTGTGTACACTGGCATATTAACAATGTATTTTTTTGCACAAGGACTGTGTGACCTTTGGTCAGCTGTTTGGTGTGGAACTGTGCAAACTAGATCATTTGTTCTTGCCGCTTTAAGGACTTATCAGCAGCATTTAAATAGGAAGACAAATGTTTGCAAAAACAATAGAAAGGAGGCCATCCTGTGTACTCACATGTGGTCATACTCATTGGACAATCAAAACAAAATACCACTTGTGTGATAATATATCTGATTGCATATCTTGAATGGCCGAGCAACTACAGATCAATTGCATTTTGTTATCATTAACTTATTCATCATTCAACCCTAGAGAGGATAAAATACTCTGTACAGAGTTCAGTGTTGTTTAATATTTAAATGATTACAAAACAAACAAAGACAAACAAACAAAGAATAAGACCACCAACTTTGAACACTGCCCAGCAAGCAATAGTTGTCATTTCACCATCTAGGTTAACTATAGACCCTATATAGGGTCCGGCTATGGGTACACTCAAAAAAATGAACTAGGAAGGTTGTGCACTTTACATAATATATTTATATTTAGTTTACTTATAATAATTGTGTTTTTTGACTTGAAATGTTTTTTTCTAGTAAGGTCCACGTAATTATGTCTCAACTTAACAGTACAAAATCCTAATGCGTTGCCTAAACACAAACCATTTATGTTAAGTGAAAAATTCTTACATCCAGAGGGTGGCAGTATAGTGCGAGCCAACTGCCATTTTGCCCGAACTTAATTTGATTGTGTTCAATCTGCTTAAATATATGTAACATTTAAGTTTACTTAATCCACTTGTGTTGGATTACATGATTGATTTGTGTTGCATTAACTAAAACTGGGCGGTGCTTGTTAGTGCCCAGCATGCTTTGCATATGGTTGAATTAAGAGAGAATAAATGTTAAAATTAAGTGTTATTTTATGTTTTTTTGAGAAAATGACAAAAGGGGAAGACTTGATAGTGTGTAATTGTGTTTAATCTTCAATTACATTTGAATTATTAGCACCATTTAAATTACAGTGGGTTACCATTGTGGAGAAGAGTGGAGCATTTTGTTTGGCTGTGGACTGATTTAATTATTTCAACTGTTTGGTTGACTGAGCATGTTAATCTTAGCATTTAAGATGCTAATATGTGCTACTGCTAGCAAATAGCTAGCTATAGTATAACAATTTAATTATGTGTTACTAAAATAAATGAAATATTAATGAATGAATGAATATAAAAAATACCCGAATCATGTCATGAAGCCTTTAAAAAATCACTTTGAGACTACTTTAATAGGGTTGCTTAAAATGACTTAATTCCATGATGTCGAAGTTACATGAACAAATTATGTTGAAGTTAAATGAACAAATTATGTTGAAGTTACATAACAAATTATGTTTGTTTAACATAACCTAGTTATGTGGAACCTGTTGACGAAATAAAATTAATTAAAGCCAACATATCATTTTTTTGCCCACTTCTAGCCAAAATAACCTTGAAATTGGTTAGATGTAGTTTTTGCCAAAATAACTTGCGAGATGTATGATATTCCATCATGTAAGCAAAGTCAATAGTGATTACAAGATGTTTGGTTTCATTTCTTTGACATGTTCTAGATGACTAGTATATTCTTGGGCTGGTTAGACGTCTATTAAATTTTCACTGACAGCCCAAATTTTGCCTTGTTTAAGCCTGGAAATCAGGGCTGTGTTTGGACGGCCATTAGACGTCTTTTAAACACAAAATTGCTTGCTGGGTGTCCACTTAAAGCTCATCAAATGATGATGGGATAGTTTGTACTTGACAGGGAGATAACAGTGCTCACGTACTACACATTCACGAAGAGTCAGTCACAGTGTCTGAAGGCTCTGTGTGTTCAAAACAAAACAAAACAAAACAAGCTACTACAAAACAGCATAGAATAGTGAAATAATAATAATAATAATTAGTTACATTTATATAGCACTTTTTTTGGGTACTCAAAAGCGCTTTACATGGAAGGGGGAATCTCCTCAACCACCACCAATGTGCAGCATCCACCTGGATGATGCGACGGCAGCCATATTGCGCCAGAACGCCCACCACACACCAGCTTACTGGAGAGGAGACAGTGATGAAGCCAATCAGTACATGGGGATGATTAGGAGGCCATGATGGACAGAGACCAAGGGGCAAATTTTTAATGACCACAGAGAGTCAAAGAAGAAGTCAAGTGAAGAAGTATGTGAATTAAGTATATTATTATTATTTATAGATTTGTGTTTTCAGTTTTAGTTTAACCATGTCTATATTGACTTTGGAGGTTGACATTAGCTCAGATTGTATATTGATAAAGTTGTGCATTTGTGTTTGTATTGTTTGAGCTGGCCTCATCTGCCCTAATGGCAGAATATTTGCACTGCTTAGAATGCAAAAACAAAGAACATCTATCTACCCGAGCTCTAATGGACAAACAGAGCAGGAAATGATAGTCAGGTGGAAGGAGAGGTGAAGGAATAGACTGAAAGGAGAGCAGTAGAGAGCAACAAAAAGGCCCAAAAAAGCTCTGCTGATGTATGGTTCTATTTAGATTGTGTACGGAGGCGGCGGAGCATGTTGATTTTACCCAGCTTGGCCGTTCAGAGTAATTTAACGCTAACTGAGCAATTTTGGAAGGCACCAAGAGGCTGATCATTATATTTTCTCTGTAATTTCCCCTTGTGAAGCCATCAGTGCTTCATACTGTAGGTGTGTCACTACCATCTGAATTATGGTTTAGTATGAAAAAAAAGAAAGAAAAAGAAAAGAATGGAAGCAGCTTATATAGCAATACTCTTAAAAATGGTTTGAAGAACCATTGTTGGATCCCCAGAGAACATTTCCTATGGAAGCCCGTTTCCGCCACAGTTGAGTAAAAAAATAGAATTCTGTAAGTCATAATAATGAGAAACTTTCTCGTAATAATGACTAAAAATAATGGCTCTGCTGAAAACGCCTAGCTGTGAGAGCGTTTTGTCAGCGCAGCGTTTTTTTCAGTTGAGACGTTTCGTTGCTATGATACAGAATATCCGCAGCACAGTTTACTTGTAACTGATTTCGCAGATAATTTGTTTCATACTAAAAATGTATTTTTCCTTCATTTTGTTTGGTTAGCTCTGCTGGTTGATGTCGTTGCACAGAAGTAATGTTGTGACAGTTGGTCGGTGTGGTATTAGCCCCGCCCCTCCTCCACTGTGATTGGAAGCAGGCTCTGATTGGAAGGACGGGTATAAAGTGACAGTGATGAACGCAGCGTTTTACCCAAAGTTGAACATTCTTCAACTCTCGGGCCGTGTGTCCACCAAAGCGTTTTTTCACGCGCCTGGCGGATGTTTTCAATGGGAGCGCCGCGTTTTTAGAACACCATGAGGCGCTGAACGTTTTTTTCACACTTGAAGCGCTGAGAGCTCTGCGTTTTTACTGGTCGCCGAGAGTTGAAAAATGTTCAACTTTGGGTAAAACGCAGCGCTCATCACTGTCACTTTTTACCCAGCCGTCCAATCACAGTGGAGGAGGGGCGGGACTAATACCACACCGAGCAACTGTTACAACATTCTTTCTGTACAACATCAACCAGCAGAGCTAACTGAACAAAATGGATGAAAAATAAATTTAGTATGAAACAAATTATCTGCGAAATCAGTTACAAGTAAACTGTGCTGCGGATATTCTGTATCATAGCAACGAAACGTCTCAACGGAAAAAACGCTGTGCTGCCAAAACGCTCTCATGCGCCCACAGCTAGGCGTTTTCAGCAGAGCGCGTCTAGCGTTTTCAGCTGGCTAAAAACGCTTTGGTGGACACACGGCCTATGATTAATATTACTCATTACTATACAAGTAAAATTACACTGCCACAAGTACACCCTAAATAAAGTGACCAAAGCCTTTTGTGGAATGGAAAGGTTCTATGGATGTTAAAGGTTGGATGTCACTGCACTAAAAGAAAAAAAGAAAAGAGGTTGTTCATTGGATTTTCCCACATGATCAAAGTTCATGTTGACACAGGAGTCTTGATGAAGGAACAACCAATGGCCCACTTACTCTTGTTCAAAGTTTGTTCGGTTTATGAGCTACTAACCTACTGAATCCGTCGGCCAATCACTGCTGTCTTTGACCTGTGACCAGTCAAAGGCAGTCATTGAGTTGCTCCCTATTTATTTACAAACATATAGTATCTATGGACTGCAATGCACCTATCAATATGTATACTGATGCTTTCCAAGGCTTGTATCAATATGTCTATTGCTCATACTTACAGATTTGAACACCCCCCACTCCAGGTATAGGCCTGCAACCTGTTCTAAGTGATATGTGATGTGATTTTCAGCAGGGGATAAAATAAGTGTAAAAACCCTTTATACTTATGGAGAGACCGAGACAAATCAGGCACAAGAATATCAGATTTTGAAGTGGGCTCTTTTGTTTTGGAACAGTAAGCAGCTACAGTGTATACACATGGAAAATAACAGTCACTTTTAGTTGAGTTTCTATGCATTCTTATTTCAAAATATAGACCTTGAACACATTGTGAAATATCAACATAGCCTACATTATTAGTAATTGGAGCCAAACAAAGAAAATGCAAACGTGTAAATATGCAATGCAAATGCTATTTACAGGTTGGTGTGCTCACACTGCATAGTGGGTGAATACAAAAATGGGTTTGAATATTATGTCTGCCATCTGTGATGGTGTAGGTGAGACATAGACAGGAATAGAGTAACAGTGAGATAAGTGTTAGCATACCTGGGCGTAATTCATAGTTTGCTTCCCACTTGAACACACTCTAAATACATTAGCACAGACACACTGCACGGTTGTCTTAGACCAATCAGAGATCTATAAATATGTATAAACAGGTGAAAAATGAAATCTTCTGATGGACCTCTGTAAATTATCACTCAGGATCTTTACTCTTAACTGTTCTGAATATATAAGTAATATATTGAGGTGGCCATGAGATGAGATCATTTAAAGCCCCTTCTGATTGGAATGGTTTACCTAGTTCTTTTAGATCTATCTCTTCTTTTCACCAGTTTAAGATGTCTCTTCTTAATTATTTGCATACAAGCTGTAACTGGTTTCTTCATGCTTGAATTTTTTATTTTTATTTATTTATTTTTCTTCTCCTTCAATTGTCTATATGAATGACCTTAACTGTTTATTGCCTAATATCAAATGGTTGGATTGGGAAAGATATGGGTGGTTTTGGTGTGGAGAGCTTTTGTCTTTGTTCTGTTAGTATGTATGTATGTATGTGAAGTATGTTTTTCTTGAGGTCCCCCTTGAAAACGAGATGTCACATCTCAAGGGATTTTCCTCTTAACAATAATAAATAAATTTCTGATTTTAATGTTTTGTGTCTAATTTTCATTCAAAGCACAATGAATTAAGATACCCAGTCAAACACACATATTTTAACAAACACTCATGTCAATGCATAATCACACAGACACACTCTGAGGCCATGTCCACACGGACACGGAGTTTTTCCTACAGCGTTTTAAAAAAAAATCCCGTCCACACATGCTCGGTCTCTGTCTACATGAAAACGTAAAAACACGCAATCAAGCGCGGTCAAGAGTCACGCCACCAGGCGGCGATATAAACCTTAACCCTAAAGCCACGTTGGCCAATCAGAAGCGCAAATCTGATGTCAAACACAGCTGATAACGGCGCACACTCTGACGTCGCAAGGCAAAAACCCCGGTTTCACTGTCTACACGACAACACTGTAACCGGCGTTTCTGAAAATCCTCACCCTGGTAGGGGTTTTCAAAAATGTTCGGTTTCAGTGCGTTTTCGTGTGGACGAACGGCCGAACCGCGTAAAAAAAGTCACGGTTATAAAAATACCCGTGTCCGTGTGGACAGGGCCTGAGAGCGCATGCATACACCAACATACGGGCTTTGAATACAGGTAATTGCGAAAATAGCAAACTGCAGACTTTGCCAAGGTAAACTGACCCAATTCTGATCATGTGCATTTCCTCGGTTCAATGTAATATAAAGAGTAAATGTACACGACGCAAGAGTAAATGTAGAGAAAGATTAGAACAATTTTAAAATTACAGTGTTATTTATTAAATACAAAAGAGAACATTTTTGTTTTCATTTATAAAAATGGGACCACCTAGTGCGATCTGTTTTATGTAAAGACATAAGTAGCTTTTGAAGAGAAACCGTTTACTTTACAACCACAAGGTGGCAGCAGTCCCTTACTACAGGAGATTCAAAACAATAAAGCTAGATGGATAGTAGGTTATACATCTGCATTCATAGCCAGTGGAAAACGAAAGAGTTTTGAAATACATCACGGCTCATAAAACTTAACTGGACTATTGTTTTGGTGAAGACAGTAAGAGATCAGGAGCCTATTCTGAAGTGTTTTATTCTTAGAGATAATTTATTTTTACTCCTCCACTGTCTGTATTTTTAAAACTAATTTATGATGGATAACTAGATCCCGAGCAATTTGTTCATCTTTGTCTTTTCTGCCTGTATTTCTCTAGGATGCTCCTGCATTTGGGAGGGTCCAGGGGGAAGATGGGCATCCTGCTCATCAGGAGAGTGGGTTTGTTTTGTCGTTCTGCCCACTTGTCTCCCCAAAGCCTGGAGTATCGACCAATCAAAAAGGTCATGGTGGCAAACAGAGGTAATCCTGAGATTAAATATTTAGCAAACAGAAAGAAAAAAAAAGTGAAAGTGAGAGTCTGATCCCTGGATTAGTGCTCCGAAAGTCTAAATACACACGGGCCCAGGAGTGCTGCATTTTAAATTATGTTTCAACGTAATATAAAAATGATTTACCTGTTATTATTTACTCACCCACTTGTCATTATTTACTCATCCTTGTGTTATTTATTCACCTGCTTGTCATTTCAAACCTGTATGCTAATGAAGGTTTTCTAACTTTCAAATATTTAAAGTGTATATATAGTGCTGGGCAGTAACTGATCACATGTAATATGCAGTCTACAAACATTAAAGGGTTAGTTCACCAAAAAAGGAAATTTCTGTCATTAATCACCCATGTTGTTCCAAAGCCGTAAGACCTTCGTTCATCATCGGAACACAAATGAAGATTTTCTCACAATGACAGTACATTATTCATAATTCATAATTCATTGATTCTCCATACTATTTCTTTTTTATATATTTGACATTTTCCTTTTTTTTAAATCCTATACTGCTTATATGTTCAGAAGGTCTTCCAGTTTTGTGGACCATAGTCATGTACCTATCACTGAAAACTGAGAGCCACACAGCATTTGATCACTGGATTTACAGAAATCATTTCACTTTTAAGTGTTTTCTCAAGATTGCATATCTACTCAATTCCCGACGAACACAATACAATACAAATATTGTTTAAACACATTAAAATGTACAAATTCACATATTATGCAAGTCACGGATTCCCCATCTGTTTTGTCAACTGAACCTATTTGACCTAATATTAGAGATGTTCTATTTTTTTCTTTCTTTTTTTGTTAATTAACAATAACTGACTGACTGCAGTATATTAGGCTGCTGTCACTTTAAGACATGACCACAGTCTATGGACCTGACTCACGTGACGCGGATCTAACACACAACACAACCGATTTTCTCACTATGTACAGTCATGTTTTAGCTCAACGCCTATGAGGATACTGATAGTGAAAGTGTTTCTCAATGCGTGTTGACGTCAGCTTGCACAACGTTAAAACAACACAACCCTAAATTTAATTCAATTACATTGTTTTTTTGTTCACCATTTTTCTCATTTAAAATCCTCTGATATAGTACATGAACTACTATTTTTATTGTACTTGTTGTTGTTGTTGTTTTGTCCTTTGAGAAACTGAAAGGCTCAGGTGAACTACGTTAACGCTATCCACTTACAACAGTTTACATTTCACAAATTTAAATACATTTAAAAACAAAACAAAATCCTTTGTTTTACTATTGTTTCTCTTCTCCCTTCAGGTGAAATAGCCATCCGTGTGTTTCGAGCATGCACAGAACTCGGTATCCGGACAGTGGCAATATATTCAGAGCAGGACACGGGGCAGATGCATAGACAGAAGGCAGATGAGGCTTACCTCATCGGCAGAGGCCTGTCCCCCGTTGCAGCATATCTTCATATCCCTGACATAATCAAAGTGGCTAAGGTTAGACAGTTATATCTATCTGTCAGACTGGGATTCACCTCCTCTGTCACTCTCTGAATGATGGCCTGTCTGCATTGTGCATCTCTTCCAGTGCTTAGTATTCACATCAGCACTTCTCTATGGTTCTCAAATAGATCCATTTCTGTTTTTTTGGAACGGTGTCAGAGATGCCAGCCAGATTCAGATCCTTTGGCGAACTCTCTCATTATGCCACAGGCAGCTCATCTCTCAAACCAGCAGCTTAGCCACCACAACAATACACTAATAATGCATATACACAAAGCAGTACACACACACAACACCACACCATATTAAAACTGAACAAGCAGCCAACATCATCGTCTCTAACCTCAGCAGACGGCCTCAGAATAATTAGTCTTTCTCCAATGCAATTACCATGTTGCACACAGTCAGCCAACAGAGAGAGGGGCCTTTTCAAATTCTCTCTGATTGGGATTTTAATGAAATTAGTATTTCCCAGCATCAGAATAATTAGGCCTGACTGCTGTGCCACATACATATATCCCTGGCTAATGTTTTTTTCAGTCGGCTCTAATTTCTCTCTCTGTCTTTCTATTTCTCATCCACTGTGTATTTCTCTGCCTGTGTTTCTCTCCCTCTCAGGAAAATAATGTGGATGCAATCCACCCTGGTTATGGCTTTTTATCAGAGCGCGCAGACTTTGCCCAAGCCTGTGCTGAAGCCGGGGTGAGATTCATTGGACCTTCCCCTGAGGTTGTGCGCAAGATGGGGGATAAAGTGGAAGCCCGTGCCCTGGCCATACAAGCAGGTACCTGATAAACTCTACCCCTGAGATCTCTTTCTACATAGGGGAGGGGGGTAAACAGCAGTATACTTAGATATCGCATCCGTTGCTCTAGACACATCAATGCGTCCACCATATTGGAACAATCAACAAGCTGTTCATCACTCATACTAACAAATCAATTCATTTTCATCGAAAATGCCACAGGACAGTGCAGCCTATGGTTCTAATAACCGCCAGGCTATAAATTCCAGTTAAACTGGGATCACCTTTCACAGGTGACAATGTTTAAGCTTGTGTTTTTTCCGTAGCTATAACTCAATATGCAATATCCATATGCAGAAATATCTAACATTTAATGATAAACTAATTCCAGGGAAAATCATTTGCTAAAGTCAACTTGAACAGTCAACTTGCTCTCAAAAGCTACTTTCAGACTCTGATATATCCGATTGCATCAGAGTTTGCAAGACATTTTGTGTGCTTAAAGTCTAGTATGACCCTGGCATAAGACATCACTTATACTGGTGTAACAATGTAACTGGCAGGAAGAGTCACTGCAAAATCCCCGCTACTAATCCATCCGTGGAGCCATGACAGCAGTTTCCGACCAGCAGTCTCAGAAGGGATGTTAAGGTACAGCTTATAGACTCAAGGACTATTGGTTAGGTTAGTAATGGAGACCGCTTCCGTTCTGCCCTAACTTCCGTACTGAGAATGGTGATTTGGCGCTGCTGGTCGGAAATTGAACAGGCAGATACAAAGAGTAAAAAGTTTCAGCGCTGTAGAACTAAATTCACAGCTCAGCAAATTAAATTGAATCAAACTAGGTCCATATAATAAACAATTTATGATGGTAAGAGAGAGTTTTCTTTTATGACGCTATGGCTGCTTTAACACTGCAAGGCATAAATCCGATCTTTTGACGCATATATGCTTTTTTGTCACATCTATTTTTGTGCACTTCAGACATAACCAGCTGTGTTTACATGAATACCTGTCAAGGCTGTCAGTCAGCATGATATAACCTTGTTTCTAGTAGTAACAAGAACACCCCAATGAACATGACATTTTACATGTCCTTGTTCTTGAAAAATTAATAAAATAATAGAGAATATATAGAGAATGCTTATAGAGAATGCAATTATTTATTCAATGGAGAACAGACTCCCTCAAGAATTCACACATATGAATTCTATTTATTCATTTCATTACCTTAATAAAGTGAATACACCTGTGTGTGGTCATTAGAAATTAAATATAACATGTCTCTTTGGGAAATACGGGGGATGCTCTCTCATACCAATTATAATGCTGCATTTTGCTAATTCTTCACAGTTATTTAAATATAACTAAATATATATGAATTTTCCTTCATGTCTTTCACTTATGATGAAATGTGACCACAAAATGAGGCCTTAAGTGTACAACAAAACTTATATACTTATATACTAGTCAGTGAGAGACTTGTTGTTTGTAGATTGATGTACAGTAGTATCCTCATTTCTGCAAAATTTGCGATTGACAAAACAATTTAAAGGTGGTTAGCTGGTCTTTCCTGGTTTAATCTGATGTAGCTGGAAGTGTTGTAGTAGTATTCGAGACCGGTCTTGGTCTCAAGACCATTTTTTGAAGGTCTCTGTTTTGTTTGGGTCTTGACCGGAGTCTTGTCTTGGTCTCAGACTTAAAGACCTAATGTGATGCGATGCCCCATTTAAATAGCTATGTAAATGTGTGTCTGTGTGTGTGTGTGTGTGTGTGTCTGTGTGTTTGTGTGTGTGAAGGTGTTCCAGTTGTTCCCGGAACAGACGCTCCCATCTCATCTCTTCAAGAAGCTCATGAGTTTGCCAAAACACATGACTTTCCCATCATCTTTAAAGCTGCATATGGAGGAGGAGGCCGTGGAATGAGAGTGGTCAGAGATTATGAGGTCAGTGTAGCTTCTGGCCCATGATGGCGTAAATAATGACTAGGGAATCAGAAAACCATCATACTATATGTCACTGTGATGATAGCAGGCCAGCCATCTGAATATACAGAGTGCTACAACGCCACAGCGTTCACACTTATTACTTATAGCTGCCTCTACAAATTAAACTGCAAGAGGGGAAAGTAATTTAAAATTGAACAAATTGCACACATCACTTTTTCACTTTAGGGCTCAAAAACATTCTCGCTAAATCCACAAAATCACTTTTTTTTCCATTTGAAAAACACAACCTGACATCATGGCCAGTAGTGCCCTGCTCCTCTTTGTCAGATAACTGTGATGTGTTTCAAGGCTAGCCCACTAAGCCATGTCGATCACACCTGTTAATGGGCCTACTTTGCTGCTCATATATACAGCATATAATGTTTATTTTATGTCAGTGGCTACTGCCTATTTTACGACTGCTTTCAATTGTTACTCTATTATAGATGCTTAATGTGCTCCATTTGACATGTGGACGACATGCACATGTGACAATTACTACTCCAGGGTATAACTATATCACACGGAGATTGATAGCTCTGCATAGTTCATTTGCTGTATTTATTGCATATATTTTATTGCCTATTTTCTCACCTGTGAAAAGTGTTTATTGCCTCCTTCTACAAGGCTCTGTGAGACAAGTTGACAAGCTTTGTCTTGTAAAGAGTTTTTTTTTTTTTTGCACCGTGATTTCTGAACATCAAAAATGACCTTTAGGGTAACACTTTACTTGAAGGGGTGTGCATAAGACAGACATGACACCTTCATAATCATGACATGACACATGTCATGAATATGAAGGAGGTTTTATGCATGTTTATTACAACTGCCATTAAGTGTCATTCGCTCAATTATGAAATTTTTAATGCAAATATGACATTGTTTGAGATGTCTTTGTTATGTCAACCTGACATAAACAAATACATCATAACCTGTCAGTGTCTTGGTAATGACATCTTGACATAAACCAGTACATCATAACCTGTCAGTGTCTTTGTCATGACAACTTGACATTACTAATACAACACAACCTGTCATAAATATGTCATAAACATGACATAGCAGATTAATTATCAAACTTAAAGGGGGGGGGGGGGGGGGATGTGATTTTCTTTGTGACCATTTTTCAAAATCACTTGAAATCCTATTCCTAACCCACTTACAGCCACTGAATTAGAAGCACTGAAATGAAAATAAAGCAATTTAATCATCTGTGGAACGGGCAGGACTCGAAAAACTCCAGCCAATCATTTCCAAGACCACCTAGAATCATTGGACTGTAAGTGCATCAATCAAACGGTCGTACCATACCCACCTCCCCCTCGCGCGCGTGTCCCCTTCGTGCGCATACTCAAAGCTCGTGACCCAGTCACAGTAAGTGCAAGTCACCCCGGTACAGAGAGAGAGAGAGTAAGTGCAATCTCGCGCATCTGAGTTTTGCAGATGCATGATTGCGCGTCCATGTTCTTCGAATGGGTGGAGTCAGGGCCAGCATTGGAGGAAAGAAGGTAGGACCTTTTGAGTTGTGTATTTTCAAAATCTGCCGGCCGTTTTGCAAATCCCATACCCTACCTTTAAGAAACCACTTAGCTTTATGGGTTAACATTCCATTAAACTGTCAGGTGGTTGGTTTTGACATTGGCTGTCATGAGGCCATTATAACATTTTAATGACAAATTCAATTTGTACCACTGTAGTTGAGGTCAAGAAAAATATTCATGACACAGTTATAATGGCCTCATGACAGTCAATGTCAAAACCAACCACCTGACAGTTTAATGGAATGTTAACCCATAAAGCTAAGTGGTTTCTTAAGTTTGATAATTAATCTGCTATGTCATGTTTATGACATATTTATGACAATTTATGTTGTCTTGGTAATGTCACGTTGTCATTACCAAGACACTGACAGGTTATGTATTGGTTTATGTCAAGTTGTCATAACAGACATCTCAAGCAATGTCAAATTTGCATTAAAAATGTCATAATTGAGCGAAGGACACTTAATGACAGTTGTCTTAAACATGCATAAAACCTCCTTCATATTCATGACGTGTGTCATCATGTCATGATTATGAAAGTGTCATGTCAGTCTTATGCACACCCCTTTATGTAAAGTGTTACCACATCAACTACTTCACAGAAAAGAAATGAAAATAAATCAAGCTCAATCTTTCATGAACACAATCGAGTGCTCAACTAATGGCATTAGGGGGGGGTGTGGGCTCTGTTCCTTTAAAAATATCAATCATTAACATTTTGTTCTCTACTATTCAGAATCTCCTTTTTATCAGACATGTACTTGATTTGACCCTTTGGGTTATTTCAATTTTAAGCTATGGCTGGCTTTAATTATATTACGTTATATCATGTTAAATATCAAATGTTTTGGGGTCAATTAAAAAAAAAAAAAATTATTCAGCAAAGATGCATTAAATTGATCTAAAGTGATTGTAAAGATGTATAAAACACTTTTGAACTTTTTCAACTGTTTTCATTTTTGATAATGATAAGAAATGCCTTTGGAGCACCAAATTATAATATTAGAATAATTTCTGAAGGATCAATTGACACTGAATACTTGAGTAATGATGCGGAAAATTCAGCTTTGTCATCACAAGAATATATATTTTTTAAATATATTAAAATTGAAAACAATTATTTTCATTTGGTATAATATTTCACAGTATTACTGTTTTTTTTTCTCTTGTTTTATTCTTTTTAATCAAATACACGCAGCCTTGCCTGAGCATCATCATATACATGATGATGATTATTTTGGTCATTGTTTTTTTTTATTATTGTACTATTAAACTGTGACTGATTGGCAGGAGCTAGAGGAGAACTATCAGAGAGCCTATTCAGAGGCTCTGGCGGCATTCGGTAATGGTGCTCTGTTTGTTGAGAAGTTCATCGAGAAACCACGACACATTGAAGTACAAATTCTTGGTGAGTATATATATCCAGGTGTGCATTTTGTGTTTGTGCATGTTCGGGTTGACAAATGAAACAGAGAGGGATGGATAATATAAGAATTTGTTTGCAAGTCCCTAGGCCATGTGCACATATTTGCTTACTATGATCTATTAGCTTCTCTCTGGTGTATTTCAGCCATTATAGCTGAGTATTTTGGCTCATTAGACGTGATTTGCTCGTCTGGAACAGAGCTCATAGTCGATAACATACAGCTGGAATTGAATTGGGCTTGTTAACAGAGAATGGGTCTGTGTGTGTCCAGGGAACCCCAACCACATGCTCTCTTTCTCTCCCTTTCTCACTCTCAGATAAACTGGTTTTATGTCTTCTTGTCCTCCAATATGAATGTAATACCAAAAGATAAATAGACAAATATCTGAGATACACTAGACAAAGGAATTAACTTAAAATGAAAGGATAGTATCAACAAAACAAAGTATCAACTAATACTTATGTTGTTAAATGCTGTTCATGTTTGTGTTGGATTCACATAAAAAATGGTGTCACTTCCAGGCTTTTGATACCTAAAGGGATACAAAAGACTAAGTGAATTAAAAGTTCAATTGAGGACACAGGAAAGACCTACAGTATGAAATTATTACAAAGTAAAACTATACTCACGAGAAAACATATTGGTTAGAAGATGAGGAGTTTCGTTTTTTTCATGTGACAACATCTGCGCAAACCAAGGCCGTAACCATGTCTTGAACACTGGGGGAACCAAGTTGTTTTTTTTGTTGTTGTTGTTGTTGTTGTTTTTTGTGTGTTTTTTTTTCTTCACATTTGTCTATGAGCAGTAAGGCCGCTGAGGCATACCAGCCTAGAAATTTAATTTTCAAAAAATGTTGTCATCCAAACAACAAACAAAGCGGTGCATAATGGAGTGCAAAATAGCAGCATAACGAATCAAATATTTGGGGGACAATTTGGTATTTCTAATTATTAGATTATTTTTCTTCTCAGTGTCTATGGTGGTTATGGCCCAGGCTTAAACCAAAGTTGTTGATTACAATTTCATGTTTATGTTCAATTAATTGTGATAAAAACCAATGTATTTTCATTAAGTTGGCTTGTGAGAGCCAACTTACTGATATTGTACCTAAACTTATTATTATTATTATAAATATTATCTTAAATTATTTTATACACTATTGATATTCAGACATATATGATAGGGACATGGAAATATTCTGCATTGTGGAAGTAACCCATTTAAGAATCAACCTTAAAATGTTCTCTTTGCACTTCTCTCTGTCCCTTCTCTCAATATTTATTCTTCTCGCTTTCACTCACAGGTGATAAATATGGAAATGTAATTCATCTGTATGAGAGGGATTGCTCTATCCAGAGGAGACATCAGAAAGTGGTAGAGATCGCTCCTGCTGCCCAGCTCGACTCTCACCTCAGAGACAGACTGACCTCAGACGCGGTCAACCTGGCCAAACAGGTACAGTACTGAATTCAAATGACTGACATTCATTATACAACCTGTGTGACCACAGCTTTCACACATACTGTAAATTTCTCTTAGCAACATATTGGCATGCCCTTCAAGAACTTTCCTCTATACGGTGTGAGTCAATCAACTCAAGGTTATAATACCATCTCTTATTTCATTATCCCTGCTCACACGCTCACACACACCATCAAGGGATGTCCACCCAGGCACAGATTTCTCTCAACTACAGTGTTGTATGTGTGTAGTGAATGATTAACATATGGTGCTAGTTCTCAGTGCTGCTCTGTCAAAAGAATCAGTCACAGAGGAAGGTAGGTTTTATTTATTGATGTGTTTAGCAGAGGCTGATAAATGGAGATTAAAGCAATATTTTACCTCTTTTTCATCTGTTGATGATTAGTAACAAAGTTTTTATTTTGATAGCTTGTATTTTGATAGCTACATCTGTGCGATTATTCATGGACAGTGTACAAGTCTGATGGCACATTGTAAATCTGGCATTTTGCTTAGTAAATATTTAATTGAATTTAAATTAATTAAAATAATTTAATTGTGGTCTGAGACTTTTGGGCCTCACTGAGGAAAAATTAACAAACTATATGAGAAAACAATTGTCAGTAATAAATAGATATATTTAGAATGATTATAGAAATAAATGGATGACCAAAACGACAACATTTTTGTTGAACACAGATGTAACAACCCTATGCAGTATGTATTGCGAAAGTGCGACAAAATAAGCAACATAATACCACATTACTTTTGAGATGGCGTGGATGAAAATAAGAAGAATGACAGAGCTAAGCATGATGTAGAGATATTTTGGCTAATGCAATTAGACACTCAAGTTGAGTGTTTTGATGTCAGAACGTTTCAATGGAAAATCAGTAGTCTGAATGAGAAAAAAAAAAATAAAGAGGAGAGGGAAACCCTCCTGGTGCATGCTGGGAAAGTGTAGAGAGATTAATCTGTGTTGATCTGCCTGCTCTGTTAAAACTGAGTACAAGCTTGCGCGCACACACACACACACACACACACACACACACACACACACACACACACACACACACACACACACACACACACACACACACACACACACACACACACATACGTTTGGTTCGCTATCTTTGTGGGGACTCTCCATAGACGTAATGGTTTTTATACTGTACAAACTGTATATTCTATCCCCTTAAACTAACACTACCCATAAACCTACCCATCACAGAAAACTATAAGTATTTTTTTGGCAAATTTATAAGCTTGTTTCCTCATGGGGACCTCAATTTAGGTCCCCACGGTGACATAAGTCCCCACGAGTCAGTGTGCATTCTGGTACACACACACACACACACACACACACACACACACACACACACACACACACACACACACACACACACACACACACACACACACACACACACACACACACACACACACACACACACACACACACACACACACACACACACACACACTTTTTTAGATATCTCCTCTGACCTTAGAGTTAGTAACAGAAGGATTACGGATTTGGAGAGATAGACTCGCCACCCAGTGATTACAAGGTGTGTACGTGAGCACCAATTCCCATCTGTTGATAAACCACATGCTGTCAGTTTTGATAAGTCACTTGCCCCTGTAGGAGTCAAATTTGTATGTTTTTGAAATGATATTAGTGATGCTGGCAGTAGCTGAGAAAAGGTGAAGAGAGAGGGGGAAAGAGCGACCATCCAGGCAAGAGAGAGAGAGAGCAAGAGATGACAGATAAAGATGGAGAGAGAGGATAAATCAATATTGGGCAGGTGCAGCAGACAGGATGGGTTTATTGTTCTATTTTTTGGCTTGATGAAACTTGGCAAGCTGTTGCTTGTTCTCAGTCCCTATCATTTTATTGTACAATTTGTAATGTAGGTACATTTACAACAGGTGGCAGTATTTCATTCATACATTTCAGGCCCACCCCCAAGTGTTCGTCTGGATTGTTTTGAAAACTGAAAATTTGTCCACCTTAAATGACCCAGTAATTACTTTTTGTACTTGTATTCTTCAAAGTAAGCAAGTTCTCATTTATACCGCGAGCTAACAACACAAGCTAATTAAATGTGTAGTGCGACTGCTGAGAGCTTTCACAATTAAGATTTCACTGTTTTCATTCATTATCTTCACAAGGTTATAGGCCTGTATTAACCTCTGATTGTTTCAAATTAGAAATCCAGTTTTTGTCTCTACTGTTCTCAGATTAGAGTATAAGTATTCTGTGCTTGTATTTTAACATCTTTGGAGGTATACCAACACTTGGTTGTGTATGTTTGGCAAGTGTAATAGCCTACTGTGCTCAGGTTACACAGGTGTTTAAGGGCTTTATTGGATGGTCACATGATCGCGATGTGAAAGCAAATACTTTTGATAGTGGCACCACTGGATAGAAAAAAGAGAAAATCAATCAATCTTGGAGACAGGTGAGACTCTGGAAGCATAGATGAGACAAAATTGAAAAAATAAAATAAAAAATAAAATAGTAAACAGGTTTTGTTGCTGGTTCATAAGAACTATAGGCATATGACAGCTTTGGAATGTGACTGATGGATATTTGTGAGCTCAGTTTCTTCCCGCTTTCAGGGGCGAGTCTTATTCTAACAATGTCCATGTTTTGGACTTTGGTTGGGCATGGTAGACTATTACCATGCAGTTCTTTGTTTTGTACATCTTTGCCTTTTCTGTTTTTCTGTGTTCTCGTTTATGTATAGTGACCAATCAAGCTGCGTTTAGATCCTAAAACCTAAAGACTACTTTAGCTTTCATCCTCACACCCGTGAAATACAGAGAGACAAAATTGTCCAATTGCAGTGTTTTGTGTTATTGATTTCAATTATTAAAGGGATAGATCACCCCAAAATGAATATTCTATTATCGTTTAGTCACCCTCATGTTGTTTCAACCCTGCATGACAGACTTTCTTCTGTAGAAAGATATTTTGAAGAATGATCAAACCACACTGGACCCCATTGACTTTTATTGTATATAAAACAGACATTTTTCAAAATGTATTCTCTGAGAATTTTAAGTTAGAGCAGCCAAAGACTGGTTTAGACCACAGTTATTGTACTCTAAAAATGTTTAAATATTGGGTGATAAATCAGTCTGCTGATAGTCCTGTGCCAGTTTTTATACACCTGTGCAGAGAGGTTTGTTGGTCCCACATCGCTTTGATGATTTCAGGAATTCCTGTTTCTGGATGGAATAATCCACTAAGACAAGGTTGAACTCATGACCCTGGATTTAGGTAGCGGCCCCATTATTTCAAAATCTCTATTGTTGGCAGTCTTAATAGGGTTTTTTTTACCCACAAAACCCCTAAAATCCCACAACTATTGCACTTGCCTTGCCAGTAGAATTGATCTGTAGAGCTCTGGTAAAGCTCTCTAGCTCCATTACAGTCTCTGTTTTGGATTGTAGCCCAACCAGCAGCTTTCTTTATTCTCCTGGCCTTCATGACATGAAATGTAAGCCATATATGATAATTTTGTACTAATTTGATAATAAATTATACTCGCCCTCTTGGTCGGTCTCCATTGCTGAGAGTGCTGGTTGAGCATGAGTGGGGGTTTTTTTGTCTGTGGAAAAAGCTTTACTTTACATTCACTGTCTTATCTATTACTGAGCCAGTAACAGCTGATGGAATTCAGGAGGGTCTGATCCTAATAGGAATAGCATGACATGCTGAGGTTCTCCTCAGTCTACGCCGTTCCCTCGGCTCTTTCTCTCCTGTGTAATCATTAGCCCTCACCTGAGTAGCCTCGCAAGCTCTAGGACCTTGACAAGATGGTCGGTGTCCTGGGGGTCTTGCAGGCTAAAGACATGCTGTTTTTGACATGACCGAGAATGGATGTCTGACACCTTTTCTGTCGTCTGGCAAAAGGAAAGACATGTATTAGGCCTAAATAATCCCTCCATTGTTACTCACCAGACTGAGATGTCAGTAGGAATCGACTAGCCAGAGGAAGCACTGGATCTTTTCCCAAAGGACTGGCTGACAAATCCATATATTTTATTTATTTATATATTTTATACACTGCCGTTCAAATGTTTGGAGTGAGTACATTTTTAAAATGTTTTTCAGAGAAGTTTTTTATGCTCACCGAGGCTGCATTTATTTGATCAAAAATTGAGTAAAAAGGAAATATTTTGAAATATAATTACAATTAAAATAACTATTTACAATTTTAATTTAATTTAAAAAGTGATTTATGCGCTAAAGCTTAATGTTTTAGCAGCCATTACTCCTGTCTTCGGTGTGACATGATCCTTCAGAAAGAAGATTTGGTGCTCAAGAAACTTAAAAAAAAAAATATTATTATCAATGTTGAAAACAGCTGTGCTTGTTAATATTTTTGTGGTAACTGTGATTTTTTTTAACCTGGATTATTTGATAAATAAAAAGTTCATAAGATCAGCATTTATTTGAAATAAAAGTATTTATGCTTGTACTGTCACATTTGATCAATTTTAGCATCCCTGTTGAGTAAAAGCATTACATTATTTAGAAAAAATCTCACTGACCCCAAACATTTGAAGGGTAGTATATATGTATATGTACACCTTGCTAGTACTAAGTTTGGACCCTTTTTGCCTTCAGAACTGCATTAATTATTCGTGGCATAGATTCAACAAGGTGCTGGAAACATTCCTCAGAGATTTTGGTCCATATTATTGACTTGTATATGTATAGCATCACGCAGTTGCTGCAAATTTGTCGGCTGCACATTCATGATGCAAATCTCCAGTTCCACCACATCCCAAATGTGCTCTAAATTGGATTGAGATCTGGTGACTGTGGAGGCCATTTGAGTTTAGTAAACTCATTGTCATGTTCAAGAAACCAGTTTGAGATTATTTTGAGCTTTGTGACATGGCATGTTATCCTGCTGGAAGTAGCCATCAGAAGATGGGTACACTGTAGTCGTAAAGGGATGGACATGGTCAGC